AAAATTTTAGAAATGAATCTTCTTAAAATATCTTCAATGAAATGGCTGGTTTCCTTTCCTTTTTGAACCTGGGGAAAATATTCCAGTTTCAAGTAGGTCCAGTTACATTCTTGCCCATTAAAAACACTCCTTTGATCAGTGAGAATCCTCAAGTATTCTGCTTTTCTTCATGCATAATACATTTTTCATTTTTTCTTCTAAAAGGATCTGAAGTAGGTTAAAATTTCTGGACTAAAACCTGGAGTTCTGCCCTAGCTGGTTTGGCTCAGTGGGTAGAGCGTCTGCCCACGGACCGAAGGGTCCCGGGTTCGATTCCAGCCAAGGGCACATACCTCGGTTGTAGGCTCAGTCCCTGGCCCCAGTCCAGGCACATGCGGGACCAACCAGTTGATGTGTTTCTCTCTCTTTCCCTTCCACTCTCTCTGAAAAACAATGGAAAAAATATCTTTGGGTGAGTATTAAAACAAAACAAAACCCTTGAGTTCTTGGTACATGACTTTGCATGTAGGTATATTCCTGCAAGTGGGTCTCATGTGATAGAGGTTTGTGGGTTGACTCATACTTCGCACAGGTTTATTAACTGGCAAATAAGTGTATGGATGTAGGAATAACTAGTATTTTAGAAATAGAGTGATAAATGCTCTATACATCTATGAGAACTGGTGGGATAGGTATAGGAAAAAAGTACTTAAGAGAAATAGACTTAGAATGATGACAGAAGGGAGGAAAAAACAAAAGCCTCAGCCAGAACCAATCAGGTCTTTGATCATTTAGGTGAAAGTTCTAGAACCATATGCGGCTCTCTGTGTTTAATAATTATAAATATTCTTTAAAAATTTTTTACTCTTAAGTTCACTTGCAGTAAGTATCTAAATTGTGTATAATTCATTTAACAGCATGGGATCAGTAAGTCTCAAGTCATCTTTTGCTTATCTTTATTAAATTTTAAATTAAAAGAACAACTTCAGGTTTTAGGAGAGGAACCCGGCGTCCAGTCAACTTGTTCATGTCGCTTTTTTCTTTTAACTTTTATTTATTGATTTTAGAGTGAAAAGAGGAGAAAGAGAGTGCGAGAGAGAAACATCGATTTGTTTTTCTTATTTATGCATTCATTGGTTGATTCTTGCGTGTGCCCTGACCAGGGATCAAACCTGCAACCTTTGTGTATTGGGACGATGCTCTAACCAACTGAGCTACCTGGCTAGGGCTCATGTTTTTAAAAGGGCAATGACAGCCCAGCTGACATGGCTCAGTGGTTCAGCATTGACCTAGGATCCAGGAAATTGCAGTTCGATTCCCGGTCAGGGCTTGTGCCTAGGTTTTGGGCTTGATCCCCAGCAGCGGGCATGCAGGAGGCAGCTGATCAATGACACTCATCATTGATGTTTCTCTCTCTCCCTCTCCCTTCCTCTCTCTGAAATCAATAAAGATGTATTTTTTTAAAAAGAGGGTGATGATAGTTGTGTAACAGATTACCCCTAATTTAACAGCTTAAAACAATAAACATCTGTCCTCTCCCACAGTGCCTGAGGGTCAGGAATCTGGGAGTGATTTTTAAAATATTGTTGCATGCTTTTATATTTGCCCTTTTTCTATTTTACTTTTAAAAGTATGTTTTTATTGTTTTAGAGAGAGAGGAAGGGAGAGGGATATAGAGAGAGAAACATTGATCGGCTGCCTCCTGCACGTCCCTTATTGGGGAGCATATGCCCTGACTGGGAATCAAACTGGCAACCTTTTGGTTCATGGGTCAATGCCCAACCACTGAGCCACACTGGCCAGGCCGGGAATGATTTAATTGGGCTCAGGGTCTCATGGGGTTGTAGTCAAGCTGTTGAGTGGGGGGACTGCAATCATCTCAAAGTTTGCCTGGGCCTGGAGAATTCACTTCCAGGCTCCCTAGCATAGTCTTTGGCATGACTCAGTTACTTGCTGGTTGTTGGCTGCTGACCTCTATTCCTATGCACCTTCCATGTCCTCACGACCTAAAAGCTGGCTTCCTCCAGTGTGATTCAAGGGAGAGCAAGCAAGCAAGCGAGAGAGCTCCAAAGATGGAAGACAGTTTCTTATGACCTAACCTTGGGAGTGGAAAACCATCCCTTCTGCTGTATGCTGTTGGTCACACAGACCCACCATGGTCCAGTGTGGAAGGTGACTGATTTTATAGGGGTGCAACTATCAGGAAGCAAGGATTATTGGGGGCCATCTGGGAGGCTGGCTACCACAGTGGCTATCAAATATCTCAGATATGTATATTCCATTGGGGAAATTTAAAATAATGCCATAACAGTTCTAATTTTAAGTGTACATTTACATTACTCTGAACATTCCATCCTTTGCAACTACTTATATTTATGATGAAAAAATTTTTTTAAATGTATGAAGGGGGCACATATTTTTAAAAAATCTTTTGGGGATAAGAGAATAAAAGTTTGAAGACCACAGGCTTAGACAACTGGTTCCTCTACCCAGTGGGCCCCTTAGCATGTTCCTCTGGCTCTTTATCTCCCCCACGCGGTGCTCCTTTATCTTAAAGGTATGGACAATTCATAAATGAAAGACAAACCTCAAATTGGAAATCATAACTTGGGTCATGACTTGTGAATAGGAAAGATTACTTGAAATCCCGACTGTCCCTGAAAATCTAGGGCTTCCGAGGATGAGTAAGAAAACGGAGTTTAAAAATGGCATTCATTAAACAGACCTTAGTAAGTGCCTTCTATGAGGAAGACATGGTAGAACTGGGGACACCAAAAAAATATAACCCAGGATCTACTCAAGTTATAAACTGGACAAAAACGATGCTTGGGTTGTATTAAAAAAATAGTACACAGCTGTCACATTTTTATGGAAGTTTTAAAAAGTGTATAGGCGAAATTTGGCTTATGTTTTGATTAGGCATGCCATCAGTGTGTGTTTAATGAAGAGATCGGGTTCAGTTAGGCCAAAAATGCACTAGGCCGGTGATCATGAGTAACTTGGAAGAGACGCTGGGGCCACCAGGAGCCCGACCTGAAACCAGAGCTGTATCTTACTAGGAACTAGCCTTGAAACTTGCCTGGGCACGACTAACCCTTTACCCCTACCTACCTACCACTTCGTGGCGGAGACGAGGCCGTCTCTTAGCATTGTTTGCGGGTAGTTTTTATCGCGCGCTCTACTACCAGTCAAACGTATAAATACGTTTCCCGCATACAATGTGCGGGAAATGTGCGATGTCCTACTTGCATAAACTTCAGCTGAACCAAAACAGTAGTGTGCGCCGGGACTAGGATGTTTATTGCGAACCACGGACACGCAGCTGCAGGCAGAGCGCGGCCGTCCCGCGCGTTCGCGCTCCCAGCTGGGCCCGCGGGTCGGCCGGAGGTTCCAGCTCCGCTCCCGCGGAGGACGCGCGAGCTCCGGGGCGGCTTCTGGAAGCGCGGCGCCGCCCCTGCAGC